AAAAAAAAAAAAAAAGAGTTGCCTTGGTCATGATTGTCTCTTCAAAGCAATAAAAAACCCTAACCAAAAAAAAAAAAAAAATGAAAATGAAATGAAGCAAAGTCTTCAGAGAGACAAAAGCTGGGAGCAGATCCAGCCAGAAGAGCCACCCCAGGGGGCTTCTTGCAGCAACTGAAGACTGCCCCACACATAAGCCGGCATATAAGGCACAGAGCAAGAGACAGAAGGTCTGTGTCAGCAATGGGAATGAGCGGGGGACGCTGGCAACCATGAATCTATTTTGTAGACTTGAAAATGTTTGTCATGGAAGCTGAGAGCAAATGCAGGAAAAAATCAGACAAGCTGCAGATTCAAGCCGCATGCTGCATGTCCACAGTCCCACCCCCACCAGGACTGCATGTCCACAGTCCCACCCCCACCAGGACTGCTTTCCCGGTTCCCAGGGAAGCATCAGCCAAAACGGACCATGTGCTAAGCATGATGCTGACTTCCCACACTGCACAGGCCTTTGGTCTCGTGACATGACTCACTCTCACACACAGTGGATCTACAAAGAGGGAACCACGATACTTTCCTAGGTGTTTTCCTTCTGTACCATTTCACACACATGTGGCCGCTTCTGTGTGTTTGGGGGTGCTATTTGGTATGCAGTGCTAGGGATCAAACCCAGGGCCCCAGCTAGGCACGAGCTCTATCACCCCAGACTTAGGCAACTTTTTTTTTTTCATTTTTTTTCTTTTTCAGAAAATTTATACCTTAAGGATTTTCTATCTCAAAAATTTTCAAGCCACAATAAACACTCAAGAGTTTTCTGTGGGCTCCTGTGGATTTGTGTCTGCATTTCTTGGCATGTGCTTCATCTGCTTCTGATTTTATGTTCTGCTTTCTTGCGAACTGTTTGAGGGGTAAGGGTGGATTTCACTGGGACCCCATGAACAGACACTCTGTCAACACACAGCATGATGCTCAGGATGAGAATTTACAGACACTTAACACTGTTAGCTGGCAAACAGCCCAGCCTACATCCACACTGAGACAGTCCTGATAATACGCAGTTCTAAGATCACAGGCCACACAGAGCTGGCTTTGTTCTGTCTTTGTCCATTAGAAATATAGTGGGGACAGGGCATCGTAGGACACATCCAGCACCCAGAAGGCAGAGTCAGAGGCAGGCAGATCTCTGTTAGAGGCCAGCCTGGTCTACAGAGTGAGTTTCAGGCCAGCAGGGCTACACGGTGAGAACTTGTCTCAAGTTGGGGCAGAGGAGAAAGAGAAAAATAATAAAAGAAATATACTGAGAGAGGAGAGGAAATGAGAAGCTTCAGAGGGTAAAAACTCTTGCCACCAAGTCTGAGGACCTGAGTGGAATCCCCATGGTCCAAGTGGAAAGAGAGAACCAGATCCCAAAAGTTATCCCTTAACCCCATGTGTGCAATACATGCACATGTGCACACACACACACACACACAATTAATTAATTAACCAATTTTTTTTATAAAGAAGACATCAAAAACATGTGGTGGCACATGTCTCTAATCCAGCACTTGGAAGACTTGAAGCAGGAAGGTCACACGCTCTAGACCAGCCTCCACTACAGAATGAGATCCTGGGCCTGGAGGGATGGCTCAGCTGTTAAAGGCTAGGCTCACAGCCAAAAATATAAGCGTTCAGTTCCCAAGCACTCATGGCTGTCCCTCCAGTACCCCCCCCCAAAAAAAAGAATGAGCTCCTGCCTCAAAAATGCCATTTCAGAAGCTGAAGAATGACATTAGCAACTTGGGAGAGCTCACGCCAAGGGTTTCTGAGATGTGTCACGACTCACTGAGTGCTCTGCTGCTTTAACCAGGAATGTCCCTGCAGGTGCACTGTCACGGGCTAGGAATGAGCCATTTCTCTACCGTAGTTTTGTTTTTGCTTTTCTGTTGGGTTGGACTGGATTTTTTGCTATAATATTTTTGTTTTGTTTTGAGAAAGGGCCTCGCTCTCTTACCCTGGTTAGCATAGAATTCCCAAGGTGGCCTTGAATTCTTGGTAGTCCCCCTGCCCCAGCCTCCTGAATGCCGGAATGACAGGCATGTTGTATACCCACCTGTGCTGTTCCTCTTGGTTATTAGACATGGTGAGTGGTGGCAGCCGTCACCAGCCTTCCCAGGCCCACACTTGGTGGGCACATGTTAACACTGGCACAGGGTGCTAACAGGAGAAAGGAGATGTGTTGAAACAAGAGCGGCAGGGCTGCGTCCCCGGCACCTGGCCACCCGCATGGCTAGTTTATACCCAGAAATAATTACACGGAAACTGTATTCTCTCAAACACTGCCTGGCCCGGCTCCCAGTTTCTTATTGGCTAGCTCTTACATATTGTTTTAACCCATTTCTAATATTCTGTGTAGCCCATGAGTTGGCTTACCAGAGAGGATCTTAATCTGCGTCTGTCTGGAGCGGGAGAATCATGGCGACTCTTCCTCTAACCTTCTTTCTCCCAGAATTCTCTTCTGTATACTCCGCCTACCTAATTTTCTATCCAATAAAATGGGCCAAGGCAGTTTCTTTATTAGTAAGAAATCATTCCCACATCAGAGATGATATGTCCTGTGTCCTGGGACTAAAGAGACATCTGTAACTAGCACCGGGCTGCTGGGTTCATGGGTGACTACAGCTACTACCCAGAGGCCCTTAGCCAACCTGCCCTGGTTCCCGCCCCTGCTGGGTTCCCCTAGGCCCTACCTCTTTGCCTATAAGTTCAGTGCCCAGAAGTCTGTTCAAGGCTGAGTATGGAGTCCAGCAGCCCTGAGTTCAATCCCCAGCACAGAGGCAGAAAGAGTGGGCTCAGGTTCAGGGTACAGGGCATAAGGCAAGGCAACTTCCCTGTGATTTGAGTAACCTTGGCAAATGGGAGGATATTGAACACCCTGGCCCTCACCCATGAAAGAAGTCTTTAGATGCACTTCTAGCTGCTGGCTCTGAGGACAGTAGAACCCCCGGTTGAAGACAGCTGGTGTGAGCCGAAGCTCCCAGAAAAACAGCCACCAGCTATGTTAAAGGTTCTCCGAGGCTGACTGACTCATTACAAGTCCATGGTTGTGAAGAGCTGGAATGTTGTAAATCCAAACTATCTGGAACTATCTTTAGCCTCCTTGACATGCCATTTGTCACCTGCTCTTGTCTAGCCTAACATCCTTGTGCCTTAAGGGATGCCTTTTGGGATGTGTTATTAACAGACCCTCGCTTCCACCAGCCTGGGCTAAGAATGTATCCGATAGCATCTGAGGTCCACAGCAGTGTGGACAAGCATTCCTAGGGAGACACTGTGTCTACAAAGGTCTGTAGACCAATCAGACCTTCGGTGACGTAGAAGAGTTGGAATGTTGCAGGTCCAGAGCCTAATCACAGTTTATCTGGGGCCGTCTTTAGCTCCGTTGCCTATATTTGTGTCAGACCTAACATCCTGTCACAAGCAAGTAAGAACCTTTTGGGAATGTGTTCACAAAGCCCTAGTTTTCCACCAGTCAGCGGACTGAGAACCCTCTCCGACAGCGACCAAAGCCAATAGCAGGGTTCTCCCTGTGCAGTCATAAACCCCTACCTGGCGTGTCCACGGATGTGTTTGAAGAGTGTCTTGATTTGTGGATGTCTCTGTTCTGTTACCATAAAGAGTTCTGAGCCTGCCCCCTCATCGAGCATGGCATCTGGGGAGAGTGGAAGCTGTGTTCCAGGGGCCATGGTCACTCATATTTGGCTCTTACCCTTGCGGTGAGGACTGTATTTTTGTGACATCAGCAGAGACCTCCCTACATCACTAAGACCCGCCTACCTGAGCTTCCCACCAATATATTTGAAAAGCATCCTGATTTTTTTTTTAACTTTCTTTTGTTGTGCAACTATAAAGACTCCACAAAACTGTTTCCAGACCGGAACATTTTATTTGGGGTAAACCAAATCCATGTTCCCCAGCCGTAGCCACAGATATTTGGCTCCAGAATAAACAGTTTCTTGTTCCCTTTGAGGCAGGAGCCAGGTTTACATGGACACCAGATAGTCACTTGTAACCGCTGCACCCTGTGCGCTCCATGCACCGGCCTCCCACCACGCTGTTGATAAACATTCCCTGGACCTTCCAGAAATCCAGCTTACCCATCAGAAATTGAGGCTCAGAGGTCTAAGCGACATCCCCCAAACCAGGAAGGATTGGAAGTAGGACTCAAGTCCTGGCTCCTGAGCACTCTCTCCCTATGTAGCTATATGCACTTGCAGACACATAACCTGGACTTCTGAGTGAAGGCTAAATGATAGATGGGATTCTTGTCCAGCAAACATTCTTATCCAACCATTGCCCTTTCAAAGTTGGGTATACAGACTTTCACTGCAGGCTCTGGGCCTGACTATGTTGCTTGCCTCTTTGACTGTATATAAAAACTGTGTGCAGTTGGTTATGTAGACCTAGGAGTGGGTAGGGTGAAGGGATGGCTATTCATCACCACTGTCCCAACCACTGTGACTTCAGGAGAAGCAGCACATCCAACCAATGAATGATCATGTTAGCAGGGGTAGCCCTCGAAGGATGATGGGTCCATAGTACCTTACCCTGACCACAGGGCTGTTTCCTGTCCCTTTACACCAGCCCAGGCCTTACTCACTATCTGTGACTATCTGGAGAAGGCTCTCACACACCAGGTAGCCAAGTATCTCCTGGGCAGGTAAGTCACAGTGACTCGGGCTACAGCAAATGCTAGACCAGCAGCTCCTCCTGGCCAGCCTCATGTCCTCTTGATGCTTTTTACGCATGTTGGTCCATTGGTTTCCAAGTAGAAAAGAAGTACTGGTCCTGTATTTCAGCTGTGTGTGTGTGTGTGCGTGCATGCTCATGGGCACGCGTGAATGTGTGTGTGTGTGTGATGTGAGCCTCTCTGAGTGTGTCCATCAGTGTGTATACACACATACATGCCAGTGCACATTTCCATGTGTCTAATTGTGACTGTTTCAGTATGTGCATTCCATGCTTGTCTGTGTATTCATTTTCATGGTTGAAATGTCTGGGATAGAGAGGCCTCAAGAGGGACACTAAGATGGATTATTGGTGGGATGGAGAGGCCTCAAGAGGGACATCATGATGGATTATTAGGGATGTTAAATAGGAATTGATCGAGGTGACCTGGAAATAAAAAGACAGGCATCTTCAGAAGCAGAATTGTTCTTTAATCAGAACAGAAGGACCACAGACTCTGAAGAAGTGAATCTTTGTACAAGTGGTATAAGGTTTCAGGGTTTTTTAGGATGGAAAGGGGAGAACTTGGGGAAGGAAGAGTCCATCTGCTGGTCAGTTCCCCTGTGGTCTGGAAATAGTAGATACAGAAGAACTTGGTTTATGGGTCTGGTGGTCAGGAGCTTCCATGGTGTTAACCGTCAGCTTTCCTGTCCAGAGCTTCACAGTCCACTGAAGGCCTTTAGGTAATTAACCATTTGGGGTAAGGTGTTTATTAGAAATGTTAATAATGCCATGATTAGAAATGTTAATAATGCCACGATCAGACAAGTCACAGGGGCAACAACATCACAGGCTTTCTGAGGAGAGTTCAGGTCCCAGCACCAGAGACACTGATTATCTGTTCTTGTGTGTGTGTGTGTGTGTGTGTGTGTGTGTGTGTGTGTGTGTGGTGTGTGGTGTGTTTCACCCCCTTGGGGCATATGTGTATAGTCTTGGAGAACTTAGGGCCTGTCTATGAATTTATGTATCTCCATACTCAACATTGAAAGAATAGAGGAACTGAACCCCCAAACCCTCTTGTGCCCGACAACCCAACACATTGCTCTTCTCTTGATGACCTAGACACACACGTCCTACAAGTGAAGGTCATCTCTGCTGAGGTGATGCTGGCACTCTCTCCAGAGAGGAAGGGGTAGAACAGGCGGGCAGTGAGCACACTGAAACAGGCCAAGGGTGTCCCACTACAGCTTAGCCAAAGCTCAGGGCCACTGATTCCTTGGGATGCCACCCCACCCCAGTCTCATTTGACTCTTTTAACAATGAGAAATTTGGATTCTTTACTTTTCTTGTTGCTGCAATCAAATACCTAAAAAAGCAGTTTAAGGAAAGATTTGTCAGTCGGTGGTGGCACATACCTTTAACCCCAGCACTTGAGAGGCAGAGGGAGTCGGATCTCTGAATTTGAGGCCGGTCTGATCTACAGAGCGAGTAGTTCCAGAACAGTCAAGGCTACATAGGGAAGGGAGATCCTGCCTCAAAAAATAAAAGGGGGGTGATTTATTTGGGTTCACAGATCGAGGAGACACATTCCACCACGGCAGGGACAGTATGGCAGCACACAGCTCTGTGGTGATGGGAGTGGGAGGCAGCTTGTTTACATCTCAGCAAACCAGACCGAAGCTGAGCTGACCTAAGGACAGGTCCAGGGACCCTCTTCCTCCAGTGAGGCCTCACCTCTTACAATCTCTACAATTCTCCAACAGCACCAGCTGCTGAAGACTGAGCGTTCACACATGACCCCATGGGGGACGCTTCATATTTGAACCACAAAAGCTTTTTAGGTTTGCAGAGAAATGTGAAGTAGTCCCTAAAGGTGTATTGCAACGTGGGCTCCAGCTCAGTGAGGGAGCACTTGCTTAGCTGCCTGAGACTCTGGATGCCATCCCCAGCACCACAGAAATCAATTTAAAGCTCTTAAATGTGCAGTTATGCATGTCCATATGTAAACCCCATGTCTATGAGCAATTTTCAGTGTCTTGCAACCATCGTGACCTGTCTCAGAACAGGCCCCACCCACAGCACTCTGTCTATGCCCACGCATCGTCCTTGGTACCTTCTGTGATGCCCAGTCTCCTAGCCTTGCCATCTGGACACATCACAGCCATGGGCTTGTAGGACATACAGCGCTTGTGTCCGGGTGTCTCCCTCAGAACCAGATTCCCATGTTCAGCTTGGCAGGAGTCTGGGCTGCTTCCTTCCCCAGCTGGCCCTCACCCTGAGTCAGACAGACTGCACTGCGTTTACCAGCTGCTCTCGCATTGGACTGCTCTGAAGAACGCTGCCGATAGACAGAGCGCCTGGACTGTAAACAGGATTTCTACGAGGTCGCAGATAATCGTGTTTGACCTTGCTTGGTCACCCTAGGATGGAGTGTGCGTTGGATCTGTTGAACAGCTTGTCTTGCCTTGGGCGAGCAACTTCCAGGAGGGAAACCCGAGCTACACACTGCGTCCACGTCTGCACCCTCAGTCTGCCCCTATAATGGGCTGCAGCCATCTTTTTTCTCCAGCAGACTCTTTAATTTTCAATATGAGAGAATCTGTCCCTTGCTGTGTGCACCAATAAACATAGTCCCTTCTGTCAAAGGTCAGGCCCCTGCCTCTTTTTCTGCCTCCCATGTCTTTACATTACCTCAGAAATCTAACAGTTGCCATAAACAGACCACATAGGATCTCACTATGTAGCTTTGGTTGCCCTGGAACTCACTATGTAGACCAGGCTGCCCTTGAACTCACAGAGATCCACTTGCGTCTGCCACCCGAGTGCTGGGATTAAAGACGTGCCGTCATGCCTGGCTCACGTGTAGGA